AAAAAGAATATAATCTTCAAGGTGGCACCATGTGGTAAGTATAGAGTGAGGGCAGGGTAGAAGTAAGATTTTAAAAACTTATAAGTTTCAAAACCTGCACAAACTTAACTAAAAGAGATAATAATTATTGCATTAAGCAAATAAAATACGAAAAATATAAATCTTAGCTTTATTTTCCTTTTTTTATAAAAAAGGGTGGTGAAGAAAAGAATTTTTCTCAATCTAAAAGAATTTAATTTTGGTTCCGATTGAACGTTGTTCAGTAGTTTAAGACATGCGAATCGTTGTTTTTGAAAATTGAACTCTATTTTTTTTTTTTAATTAAATAGGGTTTATCTTAAGAAATAAGGTGTAGAGGTGAGGATAGTAAATTGTATACCCTATAGTCTTCGTAAATAGAAGATAATTATATTTATCATTTATAATAATAATTATAATTTGATTTAACCCACGTACATAAGATCTATTAACCTAATATATAGTAGATACAGTGTTACAATTTTTAATAAAGTGAAAAAATTTAATTTTTAGCTTTAAAGAAAGGGAATATAGTGCAAATATGCTATTTTTGCAATAAAGAAAATATTTCGCTATAGGATTTTATTTATGTCTATTATGGTAGTTGGTGGGATTAAAAGCTTACCAAGCCTACGATGGATAGCCATGTTTGTAAGAACATATGGCCACACTGGGAATGAAATTACCAGGCAGATTTGCCAGCAGTCAAGAATCTTAGTCAATGCTCGCAAGAGTGAACTAGCTAACTGAAATCGAAGGAGTGTCTTCTTTGATAAAATATAGATAAATAATGATTTCTATATCAATAGTGTTGTCCAAAACTGGTGCCAGAAGACTCGGTAATACCAGAGACGCGAACGTTAGTCATCTTTAACAGGCGTAAAGAATTCGCAGGCGTCTTCGAAAGCTTATACTTTTTAATAGTTTACCTAAAGGTTAAAAAAGGATAAGTGATTTGAAGATAGAATCTAATAGAGGATGTAAAAAATACTGAGAGTAGGGTTAAAATCCGCAAAACCTTGGTGGAATTTCAATGGCGAAGGCTATTCATCTAGTTACAGATTGACGCTGAGGAATGAAGGTGTGGATACCGAAAGAGATTAGAGACCTCATTAGCCCACACAGTCAACGATGTATGGTAGTCTGCTAGTATATAAAATATTGGTGGCGAAGTTAACGCGTTTACCATACCGCCTTGCGAGTACGACTGCAAAGTTGAAATCTAAAAAATTAGTCGGTCTCGAAGCAAACGAAGTGAAGCATGTTATTTAATACGATAATACGCGTAAAATCTTACCAGTTCTTGTATACAATTATTTAATAATTGAACAGGTGTTGCATGGCTGTCGTCAGTTCGTATCGTGAGAAGTGAGATTAATTTCGCTAACGGACAAAATCCCTACTGTTAATTTATACTTAACTTTTTAATGGTTTTGATAGAAAGCCATTTGGGGCGAAGACAAGTCGTTATGGCCCTTATGAACTTGGGCTATAGACGTGCTACAAAAATTTTTACAAAGTGACGCAAAACCTATCCATTCTTCTCTCCCCTAATAAGGAGGGTGGAAATATTAGTTTATTTTTAAATTATTTAGGGTGTGAGGTAGAGCTAATCATTAAAAAAAATTAGTGTATTAATAAGCGGATTGTCACCTGAAACTCGGTGGCATGAAGATGGAATTTCGAGTAATCGTTGATAAGCCACGCAACGGTGAAGCTAGCATTCGTGATGAACTAACTGTCTGTCGCTGGGAAGGAGCTTGGATTGGTGGAAACTATAAATTAGTTATATGATTTAGATAAAACCCCTAATCTTGTTTAGAAAAATTTCTTTCAAGATATATTTTTAACAAAAATAGTTTTATAAAGTATAATTAAATTAGTTAAATCGTTTGGGTAACATCTCAAAAGTCATAGCAAGGTAGCTGTACTGGAAGGTGTAGCTGTAATATAACAAATGACTATATTTAAATAGATCAAGTTTTAACCCCCTACCTCCAGTAAAGCAGAGGATCCGATGAGTGAGGGTAGCAAATTCATAAACTTGATTGGTAGTAAAATAAATTCATTATACTTTAAACTTTTTTTTGAGTAGGAAGGGTGTTAGCTGAGTTGGTTTAGCGGTAAATTTACACTTTATATACAGAGGTTCGAATCCTCTACTCCCTAGTTTGTAAAATGTACATAAGTATCTTTTTTAGATCTCCTTATTTTAATTAGTTCTACTTCCTTTTTGTAAAAATAAATTTTCTCTCGTTTTTTAGGTAGAGGGCAGTTGACCGATTGGTAATGGTGGTTCTCTGTAAAAGAATTGGTTTATCCACTAGAGGTTCGATTCCTTTACTGCTCAAATTTAAATAGATTTTACATCTAATAAACCTAAATCCCTTAGTTGCTATACATTATATAGATATACCTGCGGATCAGTAAGTGATGGTGCTTATTACACTTTAAAAATAAGATAAAATAAAATATGAAAGTACGAAAACAAGAGTTCTAATTAAACTAAACATAAAAGAACATTAATACGAATATGCCGAAATGGTAGCCGGGTCAAATTTAGGATTTGATGATCTTTGTAATCGTAAGAGTTCAAGTCTCTTTATTCGTAAAAAAAAAAAAAAATTCATAATTTAGAGAGAAGTAACTATTAAATTTTACACCTCTAGCTTAAGTAAAAAGCTAGTAACATTTAAAAAAATTATAGTTTTATGATATTAAATATAATTAATTGTAATCATATTATTGAATACTAGATACTAGATAAAGTAAAAAGAAAGCAATTATTAAAATAATTAATTATAATTAACACTTCTACTATTTTATATTTTTTAAAAGAGAAATAATACATCTTTAGCTGAATTGGGTACAGCGTTTGCCTTCGAAGCAAATGTTTATTGGTTCGAGTCCAATAAGATGTTAATTATATCCGAGTGTAAACAACAATAGGAAAAGGTAATCCTTGTTTATACTACCCACCCATTAAGGGAGTGGGACCCTGAGGGAGGGGGGAAAGGGGGCTAAATTTATTCAAAATTTTCAATTTATAAACTAATGTAAATCAATTGCATCTTTAAGGTAACTTAATAATAACAATGTGAATACATAAGCTTGAATGAAACTAACTGCTAATTCTAGACCAATAATTGCTAAGAATAATCCAAATGGAATTAAAGTTACAACAGCAACTAATAATCCACCTGAGAATAATTGGTATAAGAATGTTGAAAGGATTTTCAATAATGTATGTCCAGCAGTAATATTTGAGAAAAGTCTAATTCCTAAAGAGAAAGCTCTAGCAATGTAACTGATTAATTCAATTAAAACTAATAAAGGTACTAGTGCTAAAGGAGTTCCAGCTGGAATAAAGAATGAAAAGAAATGTACTTTATGGATTGACAATCCTAAAATTGTAACTCCTATAACTAAAGTAAAAGATAATCCAATAGAAACTACAATAGATGATGTTATTGCGAATGAATAAGGAATATTACCAATTAAATTAGATACTAAAATAAAGATAAATGTAGAGTAAATGAAGGGTAAATACATTTCTTTACCTAATTGTTCTCTTACCATTGCATTTATACTTGCAAAAATACTTTCTAATAGTAATGACCAATTTGAAGGTAATAATTTAGTATTATTATTAGCAAAAAAGTGTAGACCAACAATTAAGAATAAAATTAATAGAGAATATAAAGCTAAATTAGTTAAAGTTAAATTAATATAACCTAATAGAGGAGCACTGAATCCTAATAAACTATTAACTTCAAATTGCTCTAAAGGAGAATTAATAAATAAGTTTGCTTGATTAATATGTGTTAACATTATTTGTTTTTTTATATGTTTTGTTTGTTCAATTATTTGTACTATAATTATTAATAGAATTAATAATTCTTATAGTAAAGCGATTAATATTTTTTAAATTTAAATATTTGTCTACTTTTATAAAGGATAGGACCCTATCCCTATGGGGAGGGAGGGGAGGGAGGGTAGGTAGGGGGATTAATTTATTGTGTATAATAATTGAGAAGTTGAAACGTGTAATGTTTCTAAGATTACATTAGGGAAAATACCTAATGCGATTGTAGGAATTAATAAAGATATTAATAACACAAATTCTCTTCTAGAAATATCTAATAGTGGTTTAAGATGTGGTGAGTATGCACCGTATGATATTCTATTATATAAGAACATAGAGTAACAAGCTGATAGCACGATACCAGTAGCACCTAATACAGCTATAACTGGATTTACTTGCCAGATACCTAAAAGACTCATTTGTTCACCTAGGAAATTCAATGTTAATGGTGTACCAATATTAGCTAATGTAAATACAAAGAATAAGATAGTAAAGATTGGCATATAAGTTACCAATCCTTTCAAGTATTTGATTAATCTTGTACCAGTTCTTTCATATACAATACCACCGATACATATAAATAATGCTGGAGATACGAAACCGTGAGCTATACCTAATAGAATAGCACCCTCGATTCCTTGTATAGTATTAGAGAAGATACCTAGTACTACCACCCCCATATGACATATAGATGAATAAGCAATTAATGTTTTAGTATCTTGTTGTACAATAGTAGCTAAACTAGCATATATTATAGAAATAACTGCTATAGTTTGTACCAATGGACTAAAGTAATTTGAAGCATCAGGTAAGAAAGTTAGTAATATTCTTAACATACCATAAGTCGCCAATTTTAGAATTGTTCCCGCTAATAAAACAGAACCAGCTAAAGGAGAATCAGCATGAGCTCTAGGTAATCACATTGTTAAAGGTCATAATGGAGTTTTTACGGCAAAAGCTATAAAGAATCCTAACCATAGTATTTTTTGACTATCTAAACTTATATCTAATAAAGATAATAGTAAAAAATCTGTAGATCCTACTACACTTTGAATACTTAAGATTGAAAGTAACATTGGTAAACTACCTAGTAAAGTATATAAGAATAATAGTAAAGCAGATCTAGTTCTATTTTTACCTGAACCATAAACTATAATTATGATAAATAAAATAGGTAAAACACTTTCAAAGAATATATAAAATAATAATAAATCTAATGCTACAAAAGTTAATATTTGTAATGTTTCTAGTAATAAAAAAGATATTAAGAAGTATTTTAAATTTTTATTTACACTAGTATAATTAGATATTATAGCAATTGGAGTTATAAATGTTGTAAGTAATACAAAATATAATGAAGTACCATCTATACCTAAATTAAAATCAAAAGAACTGAATTTATTAAATTCATATACAAATTGATAGTGAGTAGAACTTGAATCAAAGTTGATTCATAAAAATACAGAAATTAATAGGTTAATCAAAGAGGTAGCAATAGCTATTTGTTTCATACTTGTACGACTTTCAGGTGTATTTTCATTAAGAGGTAGTAGAAACAAAGAACCTATAACCGGAACAAGAAGAAGAGTTGTTATCATGGAGTGTGGAGTGTGAGTTTTATTTTTTTAGCTAATTAAACTAAACTAATATAAAGTTTTTATTAGATTTAGTTTGTTTGCCATATCTTACCTTTATTTTTAATCAACAGTATCAAATAATTTTTATCTGTTATTTTCTCTTTAAATTTAACTCTAACCTAAGGATCCCTTAGGATCCTTGCAAATAATGGTGGATAGTTGTATTAGGAAAAAGTAAATATTCTACATCCTTAAGCAGACTCAGAATAGAGAGGGGTCAGTTAATTTTAAACTGACTCTCTTTTAGAGGAAAGGACTAAGTTTAATAAGCAATTAGAATAGAGTAAGCAGCCTGCTTACGCTAACTGATAGTATCCACCCATTAATCTTAGGTATACCTAAGATTAATGTTGTGTCAGGTAAGGTAAAGTAGGGGGATTAAATTGTAAAAAAAGGGTTTATGTAGTGCAACACTCTTATTCTATTTAGCAGCCGCATCCATTAATGAATTTTCAGCTAAACCAATTCCAGGTACTAGGAATAGGAACCAGAAGAAATAGAAGGCTGTAGAAATTTGCCCTATTTCAAGATATGGTGATTCAGCATGTTCTTGACCTATTCACATTAGCATGAAGAAATTAACAACAAAGAACCAGAAGGCTACTTTCATAATTGGTCTAAATTGATTTCCTCTAACTCTTGATAAATCAACTAAAGGTAAGATTAATAATATTAATAAACTTCCGAACATAGCAACAACTCCTAGTAATTTATTAGGGATTGATCTCAATATAGCATAGAATGGTAAAAGATACCATTCTGGTACAATTGAAGCTGGAGTACTCATTGGATTTGCTTGAATGTAATTATCTGAATGTCCTAATGCATTTGGGTAGTAGAAAACTATAAAAGATAAAGCAAGTAAGAATCCGAAGATAGTTACTAAATCTTTAAATGTGAAGTAAGGGTGCATTGGATATCTATCTCCAGTTGCTCTAACTCCATTAGGGTTACTACTTCCGTGCATATGTAAAGCTATCATATGTGCCATTGCTAAAGCTGCCAATAAGAAGGGTAATACAAAATGTAAAGAAAAGAATCTATTTAATGTCGCATTTGAAACACTAAATCCACCTCAGATCAATTCAACTAAGTCTTGCCCAAATACTGGTATAGCACTAAGTAAATTAGTAATTACTGTAGCTCCTCAAAGACTCATTTGTCCGTAAGGTAACACGTAACCTAGGAAACCAATAGCCATCATTAAGATTAAGATAATAACTCCAATATTTCAAACTAATACTCTAGGAGCTTTAAAAGATCCATAGTACATACCTCTAGCAACATGGAAATATACGAAGGTAAAGAAGAAAGAAGCCACATTAGCATGTGTATATCTTACTATTCATCCATTATTTACATCTCTCATAATATGTTCTACACTATTAAAGGCTAAATCTACTGAAGGAGTATAGTGCATTGCTAAAAATACTCCCGTTAGTATTTGAATTATTAGACATAAAGCTAATAAAGAACCAAAATTTCACATGTATGAAAGATTAGCTGGTTGAGGTGAATCAACTATGTAAGAATTAGCTAGTCTTAGAAGAGCATTAGTCTTTAAAATCCTCATGTTATCTTATCAAATAGTTAATATTTCCTTACTCTCTGTTTATTTGATTTTTATTCTCTACACCCCTCATTGGTATTATAAAGCATGAAAAATAGATTCGATGCTACCTTATGTAAATATAAGGTAAATGAAGATTAGTGATCTGGAGAATAGGAAGTAATTTTTATTTTACTGGCCTTGATATAATATCAAAAAATAAATTATAATTATAAGTATCCTTTACTCACTAACACTTACTGTACATATCCTTACCGTAAAACAATAAATAAGGGATCGGTAATGGTAAACATAAATGTCAGATTAAGGTAAAAGGAATAGTTGGACCTATTAATGGTCCATTCTTATATATAGCACTAACCTGTTTATACTAAAGCACCACTTCCGTCTGCGGATCCGCAGATACTACATTAAATGTAATGTCAGTGGTGTAAGCAAAGGCAACATAAAGTATTATAGTCAATATATAAATGTGTTATCAGCTTTAGCCGGGACACATAGTGTAACAAATTTAGACTTTTCAAGCACTAGGCTTACTTGGTTTTCTTTATTTTTTTTTTATTATGAATTAAGCCCAAGAAGATTTGAACTTCTACAGAATCCTCATCAAGGAATCATTCTACCATTAAATTATGGGCTTATATTTGTTTTTAGTGCTTCCAATAAAAAGAAAAAGGTAGGATCAACAACCTGAGGCGAGGGTTAGAAGAAAGCTGATTCCATTAAGGATTCTAAAGACTGAACTACTTTTATAGCGTATCATGTACAAAAGACCTTAGTAGAATACATATAATTAAATTGAAAGCACCAGGAATTGAACCTGGACTTTCCCATTAAAAGTGGGACACTCTACCAAACGAGTTCTGCTTCCTTATCTAATATTATTAAAACTTAACCTTACCTTTCTTTTAGTTGGTTACCTATTTTAGGGTAAAAGTAGAAGATATTTCAGTCTCATACCTAGTTTTTTTTTTTTTTTTTGAGGGGTAGGACCCGATCCCTCACCCACCCATTAAGGGAGTGGTAGGTAGGAACACAGTAAAGGTAGCCAAAAAATATTTTGACATATCTATAAGATAATTGCGTAAGCCTGTGCTAAACAATAAATTATTTTCATTCTCGTAGTTCAATGGTAGAACAATACTCTTCTAAAGTATCCATTTTGGTTCGAGTCCAAACGAGAATAATCAATAAAATTCTAATAATTACGTAAGCTAATAGAAAATAGACGCTAGATAACACAATTTGTTGCTTAACCTTGCGTAAAGCACTGCCATTTTATTAATATGTACTTGCGGATCCGCAAGTGGTAAGAGTTTAAATTTTATTTTTATATTTTTAAATTACAACCTTAAAAGTAGTTAAGTAAAAATGTAGAATTAAACTCCTTAGTGGTTACCATATGGTAAGCAGGCACCCTTTTTCTTTCCAATTAAAAAAGGTCGATACTACCTTACGGTGCCTTATGGTAGCGTAATTTGGAACACTATCCCTTTCCCTCCCTCCCTCCCCATAGGGATAGGGTCCCATTCCCTCCCTGAAGGGGAGGGGTAGGGGATCGGGTCCCACCCATTTCAGGGAGGAGGTGAGGTATCGTTGCAAACATTCGATTTAGACTAAATTATCTAAAACTAATCTGAGTATTAGGTAGCATTAACCATAATTGTTTTTATCTTAACAGTTAATATTTTTTTTTCTACTTTAGCCTCTCATTAAAATATTGTTACACTATTAAATATATTTTCCTTCTTCTCCTTTCAATAAAAAAAAGGAATTCAGAGATGAAATATATGTAAATAAATTTTAAATTTAAAAATTTATTAATAAGATTCAAAAATAAAAATAATACTTATGTAAAAAATTAATTCTAGATATTTTATCTAGGCTTTCTAAATTTAAAAAATATTTGGAACAGCAATCACAGCATAGAATATTGATTAACTACAGTTGGTTATTTAAATTCTATAGTGATTAATTTTATTATAAAAAACTTATAAAATGATACACAATTTAATGTCTCAAATATCGCTTTTAGGTTTTGGTCTATTAGATGTGTTAGTTGTTTTACTACCAATGTTATTTGCAGTAGCTTTTATGACAGTAATTGAAAGAAAACAATTGGCAGCTCATCAGAGAAGATGTGGGCCAAATACAGTTGGATGATACGGAACACTTCAACCATTTGCAGATGCTTTAAAATTAATTCTTAAAGAAACAGTTGTTCCTTCTCAAGCTAATAAAGTATTATTCTACTTAGCTCCTGTGTCAACTTTAGTATTTAGTTTATTAGGTTGAGGTATTATTCCTTTTGGTCCAGGTTTAGCTATTACTGATTTCTCAATGGGAATTCTATATACAGTAGCACTTTCTTCTTTAGGTGTTTACGGTATTTTATTTTCAGGTTGGTCATCTAATTCTAAATATTCTCTATTGGGTTCTTTAAGATCAAGTGCCGCTATGATTAGTTATGAATTAATATTAAGTGCTGCTATTTTAATTATAATATTATTAACAGGTACATTTAATTTTACTATGATAATAGAAAGTCAACAAGCAATTTGATTTATAGTTCCTTTACTTCCTGTATTTATATTCTATTTCATATCTGTTTTAGCTGAAACATCTAGAACACCTTTTGATCTTCAAGAAGCTGAATCAGAGTTAGTATCAGGATTTATGACTGAATATAGTGCTGTACCATTCGTTTTCTTTTTCTTAGGAGAATATAGTTCAATTGTACTGTTTAGTTGTATATCTTCTATACTATTCTTAGGTGGATATAATATGCCAGAATTATTTGTAAATAACACTGTTTTAAATATCCAATCTATTGTATTAGGATTAAAAACTTGTCTATTCTGTTTCCTATTTGTTCTATTCAGAGCAACTCTGCCACGTTTAAGATACGATCAATTAATAGATTTATGTTGGTTAAACCTATTACCAGTAGCAGTAGCATTTATTATATTAGTACCTAGTATACTAGTAGCCTTTGATATAGCACCATACTAATAGAATGATTATTCTAATCCCTCCCTTCGGATCCTAAGGTAATTAAAATCTGATTGGTTAAAATAAAAATTTAACCATCTTCTTATTTAATTAATCTTTTTTCGTACATATACTTATGTATCAGTTAGATAATATAAGTTTAACCCCCTCTCGGGAGTTTTTAGCACAAATTCTAAGATCTAGGCTTTATCTGATCGTATCAGTATTATATCAATTGACGCACATTAAATTTTACAGCTAAAGTAAGTATCAGGTGATACAATTTATTTGATTAAAAATCTTAAAATATAAAAGAGTAGAAGGTTTAAATTATCGTCTATGTTAGACGCTATCAACTCAAAAATAAAACTTAACAATGTTAGCAGCAGCTAAATTCATTGGTGCAGGTATCGCTTGTTCTGGTTTAATCGGAGCTGGAGTTGGAATCGGATCTATCTTCTCTTCATTAATCTCTTCAACAGCTAGAAACCCTCAATTAAAAGGTCAATTATTCGCTTATGCTATCCTAGGGTTCGCTCTAGCTGAAGCTACAGGTCTATTTGCCTTAATGATCGCTTTCTTAGTATTATACTCATAATTTTTAAGAAATGTTAGATATTAACAAATTAATTGTATATTAGCCCCCTTACATTCATATAAAAATATTGTAATCTAATTCAAAGATTTTAAAGACAAACCTGTATATATCATTATACCCTAAAATGTATAATCCAGCTTACGCTACCTCAGATGTTAGGATACAAGGGATCTTAGGGATATTAGGGATATTAGGATCAAGGATCCGGTCCCTCACCCACCCATTAAGGGAGTGGGAGGGGAAGGGAGGGGGTTAATATTACATATTCCAGATAGTCATTCCCAGATTAGCGACTATTATCGATTTTCTATATTTAGTTTACCTGTTTTGATTAAAAATTTTATATGTTTTATTCTATGATACGACATATATAGCATATATGTCAGAAATATAGAGGATATAAACATTGCAATTAGTATAATAAAAAAAGGTACTTGAAAAGGGGTTTTTCCTAAAATAACTATAACGCTTAACCCTCCACTTACTCGTAGTATTCTAATTAGCGGGTGCAGTTGCAATTGTAATTTATCTGTAGGAAGAGTGGGAGTATTTCAACCTTTTTTTATTCCTATACTCAACCGTTTAAGTAAAGATTTTTCCATTTAGCAAATAATTTATTATTTTTATTGATAGCGTCTAACATAGAAAATAATTTAAACTCTCTACTCTTTTACTAAAAAAAAATACAATAACAATATCAATATCATTTTATCAAGCTTGATAAATGTCAAAGGTAAGCATATAAAAAA